TTATATTTTAAGTGCACAAAAATACAAAATTCTAGCATGGTCGCGGTAGTAACATGTATACCATAAATACGTACAGTGCCGGTCGATGGTATTTATTGTTTCGAGCATTCCATTCACTTTGCTCTTTACAGCTCAGACGGAGCCTTAATTGATGGTGTCCCTACATGGAATCCAAATAATTCCAATTTATCTAAATTATTATACCTGTCTGACATTTCCTGGATCCATGAATTCTCCATTTAATTTCTCAATCATGGAAGCTTCCTTGTGGTTCAGGTTAGCTTCATTCCTATACTTTATAAAGTATTCCCGGCTGCACTTGGACTTCCTAATGGGTTGGTATTGTGTATTAAATATTTTATTTTATACTAAAATTTAACTTTTTATTGATATAATTGCAATATTTTCTTTCTTAAAAATTTCCTTTATTCCAAAAAGAAAGAAAGAAAGAAAAGTATTCCCAGCCTTTTCAGTCTTAATAAAGGGCAAAAAATTGAAGGATATTTAAAATATTAAAAAAATATTATATAATTAGAATTATATTAGATTGTATAATTTAAATTATCTGATGAATGATAAATTCTTTAATATTAGAGTTATTTTTTATCTAATAATTTATGTTTGAAACTGTAAAATAAAAATTTTTAAGAATAAAAGTAAAATGATGGGAAAAATGTTAAGAGTTAGGAGCATCTTTCCACATGGTTAGTAAAATTGGTGGGAGCCTTAATGTAAACGTTAGATATGCATGGTCCCCGAATCAAAGGCAATCGCAATTGCTTTGTGGTGTCAGCTGAGACCTAAGATGCATGGAAGAGGAAAATCAAAAACAGTGGAGTGGGAATCAAGAAAACATGAAATTGTTGAATCACATGGGATTTGTACACGCATCAGGTGATGAAGACAGTCTTTCCGGGATTCAAAGATATTGTTGAATTACATGGGATTTTTAAACTCAACAAAAAAATGATGATGTAATTTTGTATCTTTAGATTTTTCAATTACTCCACCTTAAATCCGATCTGGGAATTTTTTGATTTGTTTAACACTAGAAGTCATTAAAATCTTCTACATTTTGAGTGTGATCCAAGACAGAATATACTCTTGTCTAACTCAACTTTAATGCATACAAATAAAGCTTTTCTTTTTCTAATATTTGGTTTATTATTATTATTATTATTAAATGGCAAGACCTACCCTTTTTTTCACATTTCATTTTCCTTAATTTTTAGTATTTTTTTCTTTCACTAATCAAACTTCATATATTCTAAGAAATGGAATCTGATCAATTGGTGAGTGAAAGCGATACTATTTATTATTTACTTTACTGAGATTTAAGAGTTTTTAGTTTTATTTTCTTTCTCTAATCTCAAAAATTATAGTTTGTTCAATATATATATATATATATTCTAAGAGATGGACCTACAAGCATATTAGACAAATAAACTAAATAATTTTTTTATTTATCTTATATTATATAATAAAATATTATTTTTTAAATTTATTTTATTTATATATTATATTATCCAAGCTCAAAATTTCATATTTTTTTATTAAAAAATTATTACTTAATTATTTAGATTTTTAACAAAAACATATTAAATGAGCTGAGTTAATAGCACAGGGACCCTTTTTCTCCACACATGCTGCGTAGTGCGTAGTCACGTCAATAATTAAAGATGCAGTTGGCAGCGGCATTCCACACTACGGTCCAAACGCAAAATCACCGCATCAGTGTTCGGCGTTGGTGGGAGCCAAATGGCCGGAAACCCGCATCACCCATTAACCTCTGCACCGATGTTAGTAACTTTCTTCCAATGGAATATATCCATTAAGGTTGGTTAAAGTAGTGATATCTGAGTATTGTGAATTATGTTAAAAACGTGAATCATGTTGAAAACGTAAGCTTAAATTTAACAAGTTATGAATCCTCCTACTTAAATTACCAGACTGCTGTCACTAGGTTGGCAGTGTAAATCCTCCTCCCCCAACCTAGCCTCAGTTGTAACAAACTAAATAATTGTTCCAGTGTGGGCTCCTTCCTCATCAATCCTTCACATGTCTCTCCTTCTATTAATTACTGGGACTTAATAATCAATGCTTCTCCTCTACTCTACCTCTCCTACGTTTTCCTGAGCACTTATCAAATTATGGGTCAGTAGACAAACCTTCTTTTATCCTTGAACCTAAATGCCTATGACTTGGATTTTAAGATCCTTTATGTCCATTGAAAAGATATTATTATTGAGTTGCTTAAATCATTGGCCTCATCATTAACTGGTGATCAAATGAAATGGGTGAGAAGAAAACGAGATGTTTGTTGGGTGCGAAAGAAATTCTGTTTTTTCTTAGTGAGAAGTGATTAATTTGTTGCATCTATGAGTTTTGAATTTTAAGACTTTTTAGGTACCAAAATGCCATTAATTGCTTTGATGTGGATTGTGGATGCCAATATTTACAATTTTGTGGGTCCATTTTTTGTTTTGCAAAGCAATGATTCATGATTCATTCGCCCTTTTTGTTTTGACAAGCTTCCAAAGGTTTTCTGAAGGACCCTTTTATATATGATCATAAAGTGTTTGTCAAAATGCCTTAACCAAGTATTCTGTTTTACACTGATTTCCAGTGCTTGATTGTGACCCTGAACCACAAATCAGAATATTCTCACTTCTTAAAAAGGATTGTTTATCTAGATTGTTTGGGAAGCAGAGAAGGTGATGTGTCAAAAGAAAAACTGCCCACATGCCACATCTCAAATCTCAATCTCAACATATCTTATTGGCCAACAGGATCAACTGAAAATTAGCAAGAAAATGAGTCAAGGTAAAGCCAACCCCACTAACAAATTTTCAATGGATTTCAACCCAAGTAAAAAAGTTGGTTTCTTTAGTCTGATCTCTCAACTAAAATAATATTAACCAGTTGTTCTGTCACCGCAGGCACACACACCCACCAAACTACTCATTTCTTTTCTCCTTAAAAGAGGCTGTGGCTGTTACTTTGCTGTCACACTGAGTTTGCCTCTTATTGCTTTTCGTTTTCTTTGGGGTCAATTTAACTGTGTTCAATTACTTGAGATTGTAGGAACGGTTGTTTCAAACATGGAAATTTCAGAGCTTTGTAAATTTGGGAACTTGAGTTTTGAGGAAGGGGAGGCTTTGGTTCTTTTCACCAAACTGAATTCTGGGTTTTCCATTAACAGCCTGAAACTGCTTTTTGCTTCTTTCACACGATTTGTGGGTCTTTGTTAATCTAACTTGCCTTCTCCTCTTGCTTTGATTCAAGTTATTCGTTTCCCTATTAATTTTTACTATTTTATCGATGTTTGATTCTCTTCATCATCATTGAGGAGTTTGGTTTAGAGCCATTGGGATTTGGAGTTTCATGGGATGGGGTTTGTGAAGCTAGGAAATATGCTGCTGATAACACAACTCTGTATCATTGGCTTTGCATTTGTTGCTGAAGTGTCTTCAGGTAATTTCAAATCTTCATATCTCTTAGTTGGAAATTGGTCTTATTTGATTAGCTTGGTGGCTTAAAGCTATTAAATTTGATGCGACTTTAATGGTTTTTTCTGTTTTAATCAACACTTTGGTGATCTGGGTGGATCAAAACTGATCTTTTCAGTGTTCTTTATAAGGCCAGTAAGTAAAATAAAGAGGCTTGGCTTGCTAGTAAGATTTTGTTTTGAAATTTTCTTTATAAAATTTATCATCTTCATGGATATAACATGCCATTATCTTATAATTGAAGTTTTCATGATAATTTGCCTACCTAGAGATTTGGAGCATGTAGATTCAAGTTTTCTAGACCATACAATAGGTAACATGACAATCTTCAAATCTCTTGGTTCTCCTTAACATCATGTCCCCAAAGATAATTTCATTTAGCATCACCTATCTTTGCTTAGGATGAGCTTAGGCTTCACCAAGGATATGGCTTTCATTGAGGATTTATCTGAAAATAATTACTTTTAGATTACATCATTAGCTTTGCATGAGACTTTGATTGCTCCACTCCTTTTATACTGCCACAGCATATTCCCAACAAATATATTGAAATCTTTGTATGAGTGATAAGGATCTTTGATTTGCAAGGGTCTTCCATGTCGGTACTAAGCAGTCCTGCCATTCTCATTTTTATAGAACACAAACCAGTAGCATTATGATCTTGTAAGTTATACCAATGAGTCCCCATTTTCAGGCAAAATACTGTTTGCTAACTGATACCCTTTGGGACATTTCAGTTGTATGTCTTGAAACAGGGTTTGTTAAGTGTTAACTGATAAACCAGCCACATTTCTGAAAGTTGCTAAACAACTTTTCTTTTCCACATTTCCATCATACTGTCTAAAACTATAATAACTGATGGATATTAAGTAGTTTGTGGCTGCCTTGAATTTAGGCTGAAAATGATCACTATTCTATCTTTTCACTGTGCATAACATATCCCCATCTCCAGCAACATCTTCTGTGAGTCCTGTCTTGAAAACCAGCACCACACTTAGCTCACCATTTCAACAAGATGGGAACTAACATAAAGTTTATAAAGCAGTACTGTTCTTGAGATTATTTGATTAAATATGTGGTTGACAATCCAGGGTCAGATATACATTCTCCGCCAGCATTACTACCCCTCTTATCTACCCCAGTGCCTGAGATAAACAAAGGAAATAGACACTCAATGACACCAAGTTCTTCAATAGAATCACCACTTTACAGTACAGCTCCTCCACCATCAATTGAGGAAGGGCATGTTGCATCCTCATCCCTGATTCCTCCAAGATTACCATTGCCACTGGATACAGCTCCTCCACCCATACTTATTCAAGAACATGCTCCATCCATATTACCAAGTGCTTCTCAGATGAAGGAACCGATTAGTAAATCACCTGCAGGTGCTCCAGGTACATTGTTGATTAGATATGTTTTTGTCCCCAAATTAGTGCAAATTGACTTTGAAAAGCATGCTTTTGCTTCAATATGCAGCTCCAATTGCATCACCTATAACAAATTTGCCACAAAATTCACCAGCCATCAATGCAAGTAGGGTTGCCCATCAAAGCAATGTATCACATAACCAAGTAAATGTAAATTTTTGAATGTCGTTCTAATCCATCCATGTCTAACCTACAGCACCAATTCCAAAACCTTCATATAACTCTCCACAAAGTTCACCCTACGTCCCCCAGTGTAGGCCAAAAGCTGTGACTTAGTCTTAGTATCAGAAATGTATCAAATAGCTGAGATGCCTGAAACTGAATTTGGTTCTAATGCAGCTTCCTTTATTTTAATCTGCAGTTCCAATCTCAACACCTCAGATGAATTCACCAGTAAATGCACCAGCGATTCACTCCAACAGAACAAGTGCTTTTCAACGTAGTCCTAATCAAACAAATGATATGGCTCCTATTTTGCAGCCAACTGCTCCAGGTATATGGTTAATAGTATGGTGCATCATTCTCAGATAAATTTGAAATTGAGTTTGCTTCTAATGCAGCTGCTTTTATTCTAACTGGTAGCTCCAACTTCAACACCTTTGAGGAGTTCATCACACATTCCCTCCAGCATGCCAAGTGCCAATCAAAGAAATGTATCAAATAATAAGGCTCCTATTCCAGAGCCAATTGCTCCAGGTATATGGAATTTTGGATAAAGGTTTGATGGGTTATTTCTAGATAAACTTAAAAGTGACTTTGATTCCAATGTGACTACCTTTATTCTCATGTGATTTACCTGGAGCTGAATGCTCCAGGTATATAATTGTTTGTTTGGTGTGTCCTTTGGATCTTCAATGGATGCCATTTTCCAACGTCCAAGTACTACCTTATTCTTTCATTTATTTTACTTTATTTTATTTTAAAATTTTCCTTTTCTATATCCCTTTCCGATAACATGATTTCAGTTGCGTCTCCACCGACGAAATTAGAAAGCTCCCAACCAACAGCCCATCCAGTGGCGCCAGGAAATCCGCCTTCCAAATTACCTGGTATGCCTGCTTACTTTTATGGTTCCCAAGAAACTCTTATCTAATGATATTGATACAATTTTATGAAACCATGTGCTATAGCTTGAATCTGCAGTCAATCATATTTTTGATAGAAGTAGTTGAGAGTTGAATCCAACTTTAGAAACTTGCCAGTCACATCACCTACTGCATTACTGCCCCTAGAACTCACCAGCCATCCACCAAATTTTCGACGTATAAACTTCATTTTATCATGCTTTCACCAATAACCTATTTAGTTGGTCTTCATATGAGGTTGTGGGTTCTGATGTTTATTTTTTCTTTCTTCCCTTTTATACTTTTGTTGCTGGGAATAAAGATATTATTGTTTCTCCTGCACCAACTCCACCCCAGATCATCAACTGGGAGGATCATGGGATACCAGTTGCCTCACCCGCAGCTGAAACTCCTAAACCATTGCCACATGTGGACCATTCTCCAGAACCGGGTAAATGTTTTAAATATTAGGCAAATTTGTTAGTTACATTATTACTATCAAAGTGAAGTTTTTGTTGATACTATTTGCAGGTTCTTTCTCTGCTGATGATCCTTCTACACCCAAATCAAGGAGACACCCTTATAAAGTTCCTGTTTCATCACTTTCATCTCCTAAGCCTTCTCCAAGTAATGGGCATCATCCTCCTGCATTTTCACCATCAACATCATTTCATAAGCATCGACATAGAAGGAACAAACTTGCCAGTGCTGCTCCTGTATATCTGATATCACCTCCTTTAGGACAACAAGGTTTGTTAATTCATACCTTAGTACTGTTTCAGCCAGCTCACCTTTCCCGGAGCTTATAACATTCTTTTGCACTGCCTTTAAATATTCTGCATAGGTCCGGTCACATCTCCAGAAATTCCAAGGAAAAGGCAAAGACACCATGCTAGTCCACCCCTTAACCCTGGTACCAGATAGCAATTTCTTGACTCCGTTTTTAAGACCCAACTAAGTCTAAGAATTTAAATGGTCATCTTGACTTCTGATTTTGTTCCTCACTACAGGTCCTTCATTTTTCCCACTCCATGTTCCTTTATCAACCAGCCGTTTGTCACCTGCCCCTTCACCATCTCCAGTGACCCCGTCTGGCCAGAAGACAAGTAAGAAAACTACATCACTTGCTTGCTATCTTATACATTATGCTTGAATTACCCTATTTAATTTATCTTCTGCTTATTGGCTTACCTCATGATTTTTTGCTTTTCTTGAAGAGCCCCATGTCTCCCCAAAAGTTTCTCCCCCTGCATCACGGACTTCAAAGATGCCACTCTTGCCACCAATGCCATTCTTTCCACCTCCACCCCCTAATGAAGGTTACAGACTATGCTTTTTTATGTTGAAGTTATTTTAGTATTTTTTGCTCTGTTTGTTGTCTTGCCTTCACGCTCATAAAGAGTAACACAGTTTTATTTTATGTATAGATTGTTCAACAACTGTTTGTACACAGCCATATACAAATAAACTTCCTGGGTCACCATGTGGCTGTGTTTTGCCAATTCAAGTAGGGCTAAGCCTTAGTGTTGCATTGTATACTTTTTTCCCTTTGGTTTCTGAGCTGGCAGTAGAAATTGCTGTTGGGATTTTCATGAAACAAAGTCAAGTTCGAATTATGGGGGCCAATGCTGCTAGCGAGCAACCAGAGAAGACAGTTGTCCTCGTTGACTTGGTACCCCTTGGCCAGAAGTTTGATAATACCACAGCCTTCTTGAGCTACCAAAGATTTTGGCATAAACAAGTTGCTATAGATCCTTCATTTTTTGGCGATTATGAAGTACTATATGTGCGGTACCCAGGTATGCTCGTGCTCAGCATCTTGGTAATATTTTTTTAATCCTCTTTAATTGCAAAGTTTCCCAAATTTTATAATCTAGGAAGTATAATGAAAAGGGATTTGTAGGTTTACCGGCCTCTCCACCTTTGCCACCTTCAAGCATTGGTATGATTGATGATGGCCCATTCTCCGCTAATGACAACAATGCAAGGGCAATAAAGCCGTTGGGGGTTGATGTGGGGAGGAAGCCGAGTAAAAATGGCCTCAACAGTGGCATGATTGCTATAATTATTCTGTCAGCCTCTGTTGCTGTGGTACTATGCTTTGCCTTCGTGTGGGTTTTCCTATTGAAACATAGGGATAACGCAGGTCAACAAGCACCAACTCCATGGCCTTCGCTACCAACACTTGCAAAACCATCAGGTATTCTAATGTATATAACCCATTGGTTTTGAAACTCCAACTGTTATTTAATTTAGTGAAGAAAAAACTGTGCTTATTTTGATCATTCTTCCAATTAGTTGTTAATCTTAGGATTTCTCTTTACATAGTTTCTTAGACATCTAAATTGCATTAATCTGTACTCAGTTTGCTCACATCCTGCCATCACAACTATAGTCATATGCATTGCTGTGCCGAGAGGAAAAAGCCTATATTTATATACAGAAAACTGCATGCATCAAGAACTCTCTTTGTTTATATTTTTTTCACTCTTTCCTGCTGAGATGAAAACATGTAAAAATTTTGCAGGTTCTGTTAGATCAAGAGTTGGAAGCGGTCTAAGTTCTGCTTCTCTATCATTTGGTTCCAGCATTGTAGCTTATGCTGGATCTGCTAAAACCTTTAGTGCAAGTGACATGGAGACAGCCACTGATAATTTTGACACTGCAAAAATACTTGGGGAAGGTGGATTTGGTCGTGTTTATAGTGGTGTTCTTGAAGATGGAATCAAAGTGGCAGTCAAAGTACTGAAGAGAGATGATCAACAAGGTGGACGGGAATTCTTGGCTGAAGTTGAGATGCTTAGCCGCCTTCACCACAGAAACTTGGTCAAGTTGATTGGTATATGTACAGAGGAGCGGATTCGCTGCTTGGTTTATGAACTCATTCCAAATGGCAGTGTGGAATCCCACTTACATGGTTGTTAAATTGTGCTCTATGTTGATTCATTTATGGGTTACAATTTTCAGTTGCATCTCTTTACTATTAAGAGTATACATTTTTTGTCTTCTTGTCTTTTCTGCAGGAACTGACAAGGATTCTGCTCCACTTGACTGGGATGCCCGAATAAAAATAGCATTAGGTGCTGCTCGTGGTCTGGCTTATCTGCATGAAGATTCAAGCCCACGTGTTATACACAGGGACTTTAAGTCAAGCAACATCTTGTTGGAAAATGATGTCACACCAAAAGTCTCTGACTTTGGTTTAGCACGAGCTGCCATGGATGAGGAAAACAGGCACATATCAACCCGAGTCATGGGAACTTTTGGGTATGACTTCTCTTTTTCTTTGTCTAGATATGATGTTTGCCAATACTTTACTGTGTGCATGTGTATATATGTAACTAACATGCCTGTTATGCGTTTGTTTACACATTTAAGTTGGTAAGTAGCAAGAGTATATGTCTGATTCTTATATGTTCTTGATGAATAATATATATCCAGGTATGTAGCTCCAGAATATGCAATGACGGGTCATCTTCTTGTGAAGAGTGATGTTTACAGCTATGGTGTGGTCCTTCTCGAGCTTCTAACAGGGAGAAAACCAGTAGATATGTCACAGCCACCTGGTCAAGAGAATCTAGTCACATGGGCACGTCCACTCCTCACAAACAAAGAAGGGTTGGAAACTATCATAGATCCATCTCTTGGATCTGATGTCCCTTTCGACAGTGTAGCCAAAGTAGCAGCAATTGCTTCAATGTGTGTTCAACCAGAGGTATCAAACCGCCCTTTTATGGGTGAGGTTGTTCAGGCTTTAAAACTGGTATGCAACGAGTGTGATGAAGCAAAAGAAGTAGGCTCAAGAAGTTCTAGCCGAGATGAGTTGTCAATTGATTTAGAAGCTGGGGTCAGTACTGGCTCAGGACAGTTAACTGATCTCTTACAAAGCCATCATTCAGGTCCCACCTATGATTCTGCACTTGAAATCGAGGGAGGACTCTCGGTGTCACAGTTGTTTAGTACATCAGCCAGGTTCGGTAGGCAGTCGCATAGATCATTTAAGAGGTACTTCAGTTCAAGTCCATTGGGAAGAAAACAGGACAAACGATTCTGGCAAAGAATTGAGAGATCATCAAGAGGCAGCATGAGTGAACACAGTTTTATGTTCAGATTCTGGCCCAGATCACATTGAACGCTCCATTTTTCTTTCCTTTTTGTGTACATCAGCATGTATAGAAGAGGAGGTATTGTTTCCCATCCCCTTCACACCAACCCATGTATAGAATAATTTTCTGTTTTATGCATTGCATTGTTTCTTGCCTCTAAAGCTGTAGAATACCAGAAAGTTTTGCCTATTTTCCATGAGTCATTTATGAAACTGTATGACACAAACATGCATAACAAATGGCTTTTGTGCTGTCCTACATGATTTTGATAATATAAATCAATCAATTAACATACCACACTACAGTTGATTGGCTAAATTAACTAAACAAATGAAACAAAACCTATATAGAACTGGATCAAACTTGCATGTTCTAGGATTTGAATCTTCAACTCTTATGCGCTGTACCACATCCGAAGTGAAGCTTAAACCCTCAAACAAAGGGGGTGTTTGGTTGGGACTTGAGGGGAAACTTTTCCCTAAAATTTTCTAAAATTTTTTAATATAGAATTATTTTTATATTTTTACATATTAATATTATAATAAAATAAGATAAAAGTAATATTTTAAATATTTATTTTATTAACAAAATCCACAATTCATAAAGTTTATTTACCTTTTATTTTGAAAA